TGCCAAAGCTGCTATATTCTCCATGGGAACTCATGGAGATCAGTTGTAATACCAGATCTCTAGGCCCTACCTTGAGGATTGTAAATACTACTACTACTACTACTAATAATAATAATAATAATTCAGTCTTTTGAGCCTAAGCAAAATTGTTGAAATCTGTTAATAGTAATGTTACTGAAATCTGTTTATGAGAAAATTAATAAAAAGAACTTAAAAAAAAAAAAGACTGCCTGAATGCATCCTAGCAACAAAACAGCAGTCAGAGCCCGACGTCGCCTTCGGGCCAGCCGACTGCCCTGTGGGAGAATGCAGAAGGAGACGTCGCCGGTGGGCAGAACTTCCCCCAGCTACCGCACCGCCTCCTTCCTCTCTCCCCCGCCCCCCGCCCCCCGCCATTGCTTCCAGGCCTCGGCGGCCATGAATAATACAACTCCCTTCTTTTTCTTTCCCGGCGTCCATTGCGGCGGAGGCGGCTGTCTGCCGCTCGCCATATTGTGTGGCTTCCAAGGGGGGGAAGGGGGGCTGAGGCAGCCGCTGTCGACTCGCCTCAGCCCTGGCTGCGGGAAGAGGGGAAGGCGGCGGCGGCGGCGGGCAAGAGAGCCGAGCCGGGGGACGGGAGCGGGCGAGTCACCGAGAGGGAGCGAGCAACGGGACCGGTGAGTTGGGAGGGGGCGGTCGCTGCATGGTGGCGCCCCTTGTGCAGCTCCCTGCAGAGTTATTCCAGTTCAAGCCTATTGGCATCAATGGGTTTAGACTAGAGTAACTAACTGCGTAGGATTGCCCTGCTAACGCATCGGCAGTTTTAATTCGGTTTCTTTGGCTGCATTCATATTCTACAAGGGGGGGGCGGGGACAACGACCCTGTATGCCAAGTAGCTTTTGTGGGAGTTATTGGACTCAGTTGCTCTGGTAGTGTATGTGTTCAAGAGAGCTCAGGGGGGGGTATATGTCTTTAGTATGGCTAGAGAGGGAAATGTAGTGCTGTTGGCATCTTGCTTGATACTAATCTGGCTGGGAATACTGTAAACCAAAAGATGTAGCCCGCAGAGTAACAGTTTTTTTTTTTGGTTTTTTTTTAATTTTTAAATTTAAAATTTAAAATACAGTCAGTAGCTATAAGTCGAAACAGCAGCAAAAAATAAAATCGGGAAGGGAACACATTCACGATATCGGGGGAGTTTCCTCAATACAAGTAATGAACTTGTGGATGAGCAGGGGCGTTCAGCCTTGAAGCAAATGTGACAGCCTCAATTGATGTGGAAATACTCTTAATTGGTTCAGTGGATGCAGCCACTTATCACCCCCTGTTGTCAATATATTGCACCATCAACCAAACAGTAGCCCTTCATATTTTGGTTTTCTTATTTGTTCCCAGTCGAATTTGTCTATGTTCATTTTCTCTAATACAGGGTACCATTTATCCATGGGGCTAAGCTGGTGATACTCAACATGTGTAGTATTTGTCCAGGATGAGATTTTCTCTTGTAGGAAAAAATCCCAGACTTTGTGCAACCATTGTTGCATAGTTGGAATGGAATCTGCTTTCCATTTACTTGCTAACAATACTTTGTTCCCTTTATACTTTTTTTAGATGCTCTTAATATTTGAGCTCTGTCAGGATCCATGGGAAGATGTCAGAGTCCCTGTAGAGCTCTCTAGAACAGGAGCAGCTCATAGTATTGCTGGGTTTTGACACGGGGCTGATTCCTTTTATCTCTTTTTTGTGGACTTGTTAGAACACTGGAGTGGCTGTCATAATGTGTCTGTTAGGTTCTCCCTTGCTCTTTTTTTTCTTTTAACCTGATTTATTGTTGCATGAGCTTTGTAATTAAGAACTTAATTTTTGAGACACTAATGCAAATGTAGTTGTGCTTTATGTTTGGTTAATACAGGTGGCACAACTAGAAGTCAAGCCTCAGCTGTGCATTCTAGCACCAGAGAGGAGCTGGGAGTGTTTATGTGAGTGGCTGTATTCAGAGATAGCACTGGAGGGATTTGTAAAGGGGGAAGAAGGTAGCTGCGTGGGCATGTGCTTCCTTTCTTCCCCACTTCATGGTATGTTTAGGATATTTGTGTGTGTGTTTGGGGGCACGCTCCTCTTGCCTTCAGTATTATTAAGATATTGTTTTGAGAGCAGTTGTTTGCTTAGTAGGGTCACTCCCCCCCCCTTCATCACACTTTTTTCCTGATTGACCAATCTGTGAAGTGTGTGCCTTAGGGCAGCAGTTCTTCTCTATGTGGAATGTGTGCCTAGCAGCTTCTCGGAGGGGATGCTTCCTGCTGTGTCTCTGTATGATTCACTGCTTTGGACTTTTTGTAATCAGTGAGGGCAGGAAGGGTCTTCTGTTGCACGGGGGTCCAGTTGGATCAGCCAGTTCCTCCTGATGCAGATGTTCAGCAGACCTGCTTACCTTCAGGAGGTTGTCTGTTGTGTGTCTTTGTGGGTGACTGTGTTGGGTTTGCCTCCTTCCTATCAGGACAGACATTCAGATCAGTGAGTCATGCAGAAAATGTGAATGGGCTTCTCAGAGAGTAGGTACTGATATGCTAAACCTTAGTGTATGGAAGGGTGACATGTGCCTCCAACTTTGATTTGGAAACAATTAAATGTTTTCTGAATGCCTGATCATTTGCTTAAACGATCAGGCATTCAGAAAACATTTCTTCAAGAAAATGAAAAAACAAAAAACCTGTATTTTTTCCCCCATTTGCTTCTGAGGAAAACATTCTCCAATACAACCAATTCATCCAGTAAGGTGTTTCCAATAAGAATGCACAATATTACTGTAACATCCTCTGGCCTAACCTGATTCTAAATCTTGATGAGGTTGCCAGTGATTTAATTTGGTATAATTAGTTAAATTGTGTCTTCTCCTTCTTGTTCTATTTTTTTAGAGTCCAGTATTATCTCCCCCCTTCAAAAGGCAACTTATGTGTTTTCTTAACAGTGATCTGAAACAAGTTGATACCTTGTTGTCTTCCCCTTATTTTTTAATATAGATTTTGGTACTGTAAAAACTGATATCTAGTAACTGTAGTGGGGAGGGATTTGTTGCTGCATCTTGTGTAGTTGTTACATAAATCTTTAGTGTTTGAACCCATTGTAGCCTGAAATGTTTTAGTAGTCATCTTTTCCCCATCTGGAGTTTAAACATGATGCAGAAGTGGTTTTAGCATACTACTGACCTGTGTGTGAGAGAAAGAAGATTATCTATCTAAAGATTATCTAAAAGTTCAAATGAACAAAGCAAAAACAGGAGTCTAATTTCTAGATGAAATAGCCTGTACTCAAGGTATAGTAGAACTAGCTGGGTGAAATTCATTGTTGAATTCATTACTACTATTGATGCTTAATTTATTCAGCTATTGAACGAGAAGTGTCTGTGTTTCCATGAGCAGGTCAGGTCAGTAGGAGAGCGACTGAAGGTCAGGTAACAAGTTAGGATTCAAGTAAATCTGGTACTGTGACTGGAATTGTTGTTGAAAGTTTTCCTGTGATGAAATTCACACTGATCTTTGGGGTTCCTCCTCAGACAAAACTTCAGGGAATTTTGAGGGAAGAAACTTTGATAGTAGGGAAATTCTCAATGGGTTTCCACATAGTCCTACTTGTGACTTGCTTTTTTGTGTGGCATTTAGGGATCTGTTGTTGGAGTGCTCACACAATGTCGTAGGAGGATTCCTGATATCAAGACACCTCACCATCACTTCTTTCTCTCAACATTGTGTGGAGAGGGGGGGATGTGGTGGAGACCGTTTGAACAGCCCTGCAACAGTTTGTTGCAGAAGGGTAGGATAAACATAATAAAAGCTAAGGATCACTTCATAGGATGCCTTTTGGACTTGGGAGGCAATTCCCATGTTCAAACTGTGCACACATTGTCTACATGCAGTATTAGTTATGGTTTCCACAGGTATAATTGTAGCTTTCTCATTCAAAAGATGCAACAGTGGGAGTTTGATCCTGAAAGACAAGAGTACAGCTGGTACAGTTCCTGAGTTAACAGTAACATTACATGAAGTGATCTAAAGACAAAGCAATGATTTCATCTCCAGGCACCTAAGTAGACGAATTGAAAACTGAGAAGCCCACAGCGTATCTGCTTTACCATCTTCTAGAAAATGAAGAAAGGGAACATTATTTTATTGATCATATGGCAAGAGTTACACACAGGAAGCATATAATAAAATCATATAAAATATGTAATCAAGTAGATACAACGGTTATACAGATGGGACCAACCCCCCATAATACTAATATCTAAATTTTCAATCTATTCTGTTGCAGCTCAGAAGAGTACAGAGAGCTCTGTCGTATCTTCCTGGAAAACATGACACTGACATTCCTGTGACAGATGGAAAATAGTTTGGCGGGCTGCACCACAATCAAACACTGCCCCCCCCTCCATCCCAGTGCTAGCATTTACATAGATATAGGCATGTCTGCAGAGGGCTTTCTTAGTCCCAGTATCAGGGACGTCCAGTCAACATGAGTCTTGTGTACCAAAACTTTTATAGGGGCTGTTAAGCCAGCTGCTATAGCTATGTTCTTGGGGGCCCAGGGTTCAAATCCTACTGTCTGTATACTTAGAGCTATTGGACTGTGGAACACCCTATCACGAAAGGTAGCCCTATCAGCAGCCATTAGCTGCTCTAACCGAATGCATCGAAGCACTAGATGCTGTGATGAACGGCACAGGGTTGTTGCTTTCATGCTGTGCTTGAAAACTGACAAGAGGCAACAGGCTGGCCGCTGTTGGAAACAGAATAATGTGCCAGGTTCTTAGGTGATTTTCTTATGTCTGCTCAGCAGCCCTGTATGGCTAGGTTAAGTTTAAGAGTTTGCTCAGGGCTGTTTGCTGAGCTTCATGGCTGAGTGGTCAGTGGGGATTTGAAACTGGGTTTTCTGGTTCTGTGTCTTTATACCACAATGGCTCTTGCATCTCCCTGAGTGACTTGCTGACAGTTTTGAGAAGCTGCGAAGGACCAGTAATACAGGAAAGAATGTGATATTCATTGGATTTGCAGGTGTTGAGACTTGTTACAGCGCAGACTTGTTGAAGGCATTACCTATCCCCCCCTCTGTACCCCTCTTTGTCAGCTGCAACATGGTATACTACAGTTGGAAAAGTTCATTTCCTTTCTCCTACTCCAAACCCTTCAAGGAATTGGTCAGACCGTGTGAAATTACAAATGGTCTTACATTTCTCTGCACTGGCTGCAGCCAACATTCTAGTTGTGGGGAAAAAACAAATCTAAAGCATACAAGATTATTTTTGGCTAGGCTTTAGATCAGATGTCTGCATAACAAAATTCACAGAAATGTTCAGGGGTATATGTTTATTTATTTATTGTTTAAATTGGTTAAGACGTAACTTTTCCTTAGTTTTACATTTATACAATAAAAATACGTGTCATTTATCTTGTTTATGTGTTTTAAACACGTAATACCTATTGACTGAAAAATCTTTTGTCCCACAAAAGAATATATAACACATCTATTTAGAAGACGTTAAAATACTTATTTTCGGTAATCTGAAGACAGTGGAGGAAGTATAGGTAAAAGTTCCCTTGCTTGAAAGCCAGTCGAATCTGAATCTAGGGTTGCGGTGCTCATCTCTGTTTCAAAGCCGAAGAGCCAACGCTGTCCGAAGATGTTCCGTGGTCATGTGGCCGGCATGACTAAACACCAAGGTGCACGGAACGCTGTTACCTTCCCACCGAAGTGGTACCTATATATCTACTTGCAATTTCTCGCTTTTGAACTGCTAGGTTGGCAGGAGCTGGAACTAGAGACGGGAGCTCACTCCGTCATGTGGCAGCTCGGTCTCGAACTGCTGAACTACCGACCTTCCACAGCCTGCCGTTCAGCGTCTTAACCACTTGAGCCACCGCAGCTCCATTCAACTCCATACAACTCCAGAAGTATACTGACTCCTTTATATATATTTCTTTCATTGTGTGCTAAGGTGCTAAGCAGGGCTGGCCCCGGTTGGTATTTGGATGGGAGAGCACCAGGGAGTGTCAAGATTGTGATGGGGAGGCAGGCAGTGGGCAAACCATCTCTGGACATCTCTTGCCTTGAAAACCCCATGGGGGGGGGGTCACCATAAGCCGGCTATGACTTGATGGCAAAAAAGAAGAAGAAAAAGTAGTATGTGTCTGTTGCGGTCCTGTTGGAGATTTTTTCCAAAACAAACTTCAAAGTGAATTTTGAAATGCCAGAATAACTTAGAGGAAAGCCAAAGTAACGTAAGAGTACTAAAATGGTGTGGAGTACATTTGTCCATAGACTGTCCCCACCAGACTTACCCTAAAGCAAAAGCTGAATTTAGGACATCTTGCAGTGTGGTGTAGCAGCTGGAGTGCTAACCTACAGCTGGAAAGAACAAGGTTCAAACCTCCATTAGGCCATGCATCTCACTGAGTGACCTTCTCTCTCACTTACCTACTTCATAGGGTGCATGTGAGAATAAAATGGGGGGGGGGAGAAGACCACCATGTACACCAGTCTGTGTTCTTCAGGGGATGTGACAAAAGTCAAATAAATAATTGATGGAATTTCAGTTATACATCTTTCTAATCCTAGGAGGTTTATACACGCTCCTACGTCTAATCTCTGTACCAGTGATAACTTGCTAGCTGCTCTACGTGTTGAAGGCTGTGAAATTGCAGTTATGTTTTTGCCCTATCTTTGGCTTTCTGGTAAGGAGAGAAAGTAATGATCGTTTTGGTCACTGGTTATTGCTAGTGCCTCTTTTTTTAAAGCTACAGTACATTTGAACAGGCATTAAGGAAAAGGGGAAAGGAAAAATATGGTCTCTGTGAGGTCATGAGATGTTATTTTGGGGGCTTCATTTTCCTGTTGCTGCAAGATGCAGTAGGTGGTTTTTTGCTCGGGTCACTTTATGGAATTTCACTACACGGTGCATGTCTACAGTCTCTGTACTAGAATGGTACAACTCTTTATTATTGAGCTTTAGCTTCTTTCAAACTCGGAGCAGGGTTTTTGAGCTTAATCAGGTATGACTGATTGGCTAATGCAACTTTTAGGCACTGTGAAGACCTGGCAATTAACCTTGGCTTGGATTGCACGCAGTTCCTAGGGTGCAAAAGTATTACAATATGTTAGACATCTTATTAGAAGTATATGGACTAAGGGTGCAAGGATGTTTGTGTAATATGTAGATACTCTGTGTGTGGTGAAATTTCTGGCAGTTGTTGTTACATGATAGCTTTTCTAGTAGTAACTTTTAGGCTCTCCTTTTGTGGGATGTGGGTTTGCTGTTTATGACTGGTTGTGAAAACAGTAACAATATGTAGATAGTTTTTGTACCCCATAAGTCTAGAAGATGTGAGTCTGTTCTTGCTTGGAGTACGCTGCCATTTAGCTGTCCGTTTAGGCAGTAGCTGCGTGTCTAAGTAGGCAGTCCACATGAAAGCTTACATTTTAGAGTTCAGAATTTTCAAATCTCAGACAGTGGAGGGCAGAGGGAGAGGGTTGAATGCTGGTTGCAGATTTCTCAACGGCTCTTTACTCTGCATTAGCAGAGCATTTTCCTTCCTCCTGCTCTAGCGCAAGAGCATGATTTCTAATGTCCCATCCTGGATGATCTTTCTCTCCACTGCCAAGCTAATAGCATGCCTTTCCTTTCTGACAGTTTATATTCTCTGTGTTTCTTTGTGCTTCTTTTTGTAAGCTTCACTGGTTGCTGGCTCTCCCCCCCCCATAGCTTGCCCCATAGAGAAAGATTCTCAGTTTGATTTCCAGACATATCTGACAAAGTGGGCAGCAACTCACGAAATCTCACATTGAAGTAAATGTTAGTCTTTCGGGTGCCACTGGACTTTTTGTTGTGTTTCGATTGGCTGCTCACCTCCTTGTCCTGTCTGCAGGGCCTTTTGTCTGACCTAGCCTTACATGAATATCCGTCTCTTCATTCTCCCCTTGCCCCCAAACAACAGAATATGTGCACCAAGGCCTTTCTGATAGCTGTTATATAAAAAGTCCATCCCTACACTACTTTGAATAATAGAATGTCAATTCCCATGTTGTCTTGATTGCGATGACAGGAGTAATCAGAAAGGACAGCAGGAGTGTATATTGCAGTTTAAAAGATTTTACAAGCTGACCTGTCATTTAAAATGAGGGAAACTGCCAAAAACTACAAAAAAAGAATTCACAGTAATAACCTACTTGCTAATTGGTTAAAAAAACCCCTTTCTAAATAAAATAAATAAAATTGGTATGATTAAGGCATAGAAAAATGTGAGGCTCAAAAAGTCAGCTTACAACTGTCTTCTGACAAATACAATTATACTTTCCCCTCTCACAGTGAAAGGACTTCTGAATTTTGACCACTTAATTTTGTTCTCTCCCTGGTTTGTGTTTGACATGAGAAATTTTTCTGTGCCAGTTTTTTTTTTAATATCTGAGGCCGATGCATTGGTATCTAAAATGTTTTCCCTAGAAAATCAGATCCGATGTTGGTAGGAATTAGGGGATAGTTTAGTGATTCTTTGTCTTTCCACCTAAGTTCGCAAAGCAGCTTAGGAAAATTTTTTACTACACTAAAAAGATAGCCTAACTGTATCTGAAAGCAGTAAAAACAAACGAGGTGGAGGTGGTAGCCTTCAAGGAAGGACACTGGGGTATAGAACAGTTTTCATCTACAGCTTAAAGTCTTACCTTGGATTCTGTGGGTAGAATTCCATTTCCACAAATAAGCTTTTCTCCCCCTTCCCTTAGAACCTGACATAGGAGGCTGTAACAAGAAGGGGAGTTGTGTACAGAAGAAGGGCAACTCTGGTTCCACGGTTTTAGCCACTTGAAAAACAGGGGACTCAGAGTAATACTTCCACTGATGTCCTAAATGTTAGAGAAGATTTTTTGTTGTTCAGTCGCATAGTCGAGTCCGACTCTTCGCGACCCCATGGACCAGCTCCCGCCAGGCCCTCCCATCTTCCGCCATCCTCTGAAGTTTGCTCAGTTTCATGTTCGTTCCATCGATAACACTTTCTAACCATCTCATCCTTTGCCGTCCCCGTCTTCTTTGACCTTCAATCTTTCCCAGCATCAGGGTCTTCTCCAGTGAGTGCTCCCTTCTCATTTGGTGGCCAAAGTATTTGAGCTTTAGCTTCATTATCTGGCCTTCCAGGGAACAGTCAGGGTTGATTTCTTTTAGAAAAGATACCTGATCCCAATTTATTTAAGACTATGTAGGTTAAAACCTGCACTACTGGCATTAAACTTGTTAGTGAGCAATTTCGCTACTGCATAAGTTAGTTTGCTCTGGAGCCATTCTTCCTGAGCTAAGACAAAAATGTGTGAGCCAGAGACTGAAAAACTGTGAGCTAGCTCACACTAACTCAGCTTAGAGGGAACACTGGTGCAGGGGCTCTTTCTCATTCTTTCTCCCCAACGAGCTTCCTTCTTCATAATGGAGAATGGCTTCAATCTGTTTCAGGGCCACCACAATCTTTTTCCCTAGGTGGAACAAATCTACTTTTTGGCTCCACAGTCAGACTCAAACTGTGAGGTGCTTACAGTCCATTATCTCCTAGGGCCAAACGTATAAGTCTAGGTTTTTAAAGAGAGAGGTTCAGGTTCCCCTGACACAATTTGAGTTCCTCACAGCCAGACAGCAGCTGTGGGGAAGGTCGTCTTTTTTTCTTTTAACAATCCGGAAGGGCTTAGAATGCCGTCACTGGGGTGCGAGGGCTCCTGCCTTCCCCCCAAAGCTGGTTTTCCCCCCTGTGCAGAAGCAGTGCTTGGGGGGAGGGGTTTTCCCCCTGTGTTTGCTGCTCCACATGGAGTATTCTGTGCACATGAAACAGCAAAAACAGAGACATAACTGCCACCCGAGCGCTGTTTCCATATAGTCTTGGGGGCAAGGCAGGAGCCTTTCCTCCCCCAGCGGTGGCATTCTGAGCCCATCTGGGCTCTCCTTCGTCTTGAAAAAGCCATTCCCTGCAGCTGCTATGTGGTTCGCTGGACCCAACTCTTAGAAAACCCGAATGTGTAATTTGGCTCATATTGAGAAATCGCATATGTTAATTGGAGCTTGCAGATTAGAATGTGTGCTGGAGAGTTACGCACTTATGGCTATCTCTGGACTAGAAGACTTTCTGTATGAAATTAGGGAGTGTGTGTGTCTGAACTGGAAATAATCTGAGGGATGTAGTCAGCACACCAGTCTTCTCCTCCTCTTGTGCTTTCTTCCTTTGCAGTCATTCTTCACTACAGTGGCAGTAATTACTAGAGCTGGGTTATTCAAATGGGTGCAGTGAATGATTCAGTCATGTGGAATCTACTCCCCCCCCCCTCATATCAGAGCAGAAAGGACAAATAGTGTCTGAATCAACCCTAGTCTGTTTGAGTAGAAATGCCCTATACTTATAACCTATTTAAATGCTTGATTTTGATGGGTTGTGTTTTTTTGTTGTTGTTCTTTTAAAGCTATGTCTCAGGCTGTGCAGACAAATGGAACACAGCCGCTAAGCAAAACGTGGGAGCTCAGCTTGTACGAACTTCAGAGAACACCTCAGGTATTGCTTTTTACCTCTTCATTTAGTTTGCAGGGGGCCTAGCAAATTGTTTGATCTCTAATTTGTAATCTGAAATGCTACAACAAAACTCAGACCTCAGATATTAACCTCAAGAAATAAGAAACTCAAATGGGTTTGTAAGAAGAAACGTTCTTCACTTTGTAACATTTAAAAATAACATCCTGGCCAAGTTTAAGTTACTGTTGCCTGAGAACTCTATTTATCTTTAGGAAGCAATAACAGATGGCTTGGAAATAGTGGTGTCACCCCGAAGCCTCCACAGCGAGCTGATGTGTCCCATTTGTTTGGATATGCTGAAAAACACCATGACTACGAAGGAATGTCTCCATCGTTTTTGTGCTGACTGTATCATCACAGCCCTCAGGAGTGGGTAAGTAAGGAAAAAGTTACATATGGTCTGGACTAGATACAACTCCTCTGCAGTACCTTTGTGATTCTGGGTACTCTGTTAGAGGGATTTGTTCCTACCCACCCTCCAAAGTTGTCCTTCTGCTGTTCTTATGGCCTTAAAAAGACTCTTATAAAGTGTTCCGTTTGGAGCCTGGAGAACGGCCTTTTTGTTAGTGCATTTCTTACTGTGTTCTCCCCCCCCCATCCCCGCCCTCCATTTTATTCTCGCAACAACTTATGGAGAAGTATCACCAGAGAGACGGGGATGGATCCGAAGTTACTCAGGTCTCCCTGGTCCAAGTCTAACACTATCCAATGTGCTATATGAAGTTAACATCTGAACTGTTAAGACCCTCTTTGTTAACTTGAACAATAACAGCCAGTGTATTATGACCTTAAGGGATGCTACCGCCATCAGCATTTTATCTGTTTTTATCTGTATTTCTGATTGCCATTTTTTAAATATTATGTTATTGCATTGTCTCAGTGCATCTGTGTTTTAATGTATTTTAACCACTGAAAGCCGCCCCGAGCCTGCTATTCAAGGAGGGCAGGATAGAAATTGAATGAATAAATAAATAAATAAAAATCATTTGGAGCTTTCAGTATCAACTGGGGAGAATTTTTTATTTTATTTATTTTATTCGAGTATTTCTACCCCGCCCTACCCTGCGAACGGGCTCAGGGCGGCTTACAGAGGCCTAAGCCATATATAAAATTCAATAAAATCACAGTCACAACGAATAACATACCATTAATAATAATAATGTGCTATAAATTCCAAGATGGTCTGCAGTTGGTTCCCACAAGGAATACTCCCTGTCGACATTAGTTGTATAATATCGTCCCAGCAGTATTGATCCCAGTTAATTGGCTGGTCTTGCTGCCACATAGTTCATATAATTCGCCTCGTCGCCGGGCTGTCAAGGGCACTCCAACTTGATGGTATTTCCACTGTTGGTGGTGGTGGAAGCGGCGGCCCCTACATGAAAGCCTGGTGGAAGAGCTCCATCTCGCAGGCCCTGCGGAATTGCATAAGATCCCGCAGGGCCCTGATCTCCTCCGGGAGCTTGTTCCACCAGGTAGGGGCCGCCACTGAGAAGGACCTAGCCCTCGTCGTGGCATATCGTACCTCTCGGGGACCCGGGACCACTAAACGGCTCAGGGTCCCTGACCGAAGTGCTCTTGGGGGTATATACGGGGAAAGGCGGTCCCTCAGGTAGGTCGGACCTCGGCCATATAGGGCTTTAAAGGTAAGTACCAGAAGGGGTCCACGAGGAATTCTTCCTTTCTCCTCCCCCACCTACCAGGACTTGTATTGGCTTAAATGGACCCAAGAGCTGACTTGAAATAAGGGCATCTTTGTGGGCTTATTCACTTGGAGGTGTGTGAAAAGTAAAACTTGAGTAAGTTCTGGCATGTTGCCCTAACTGACAAATGTCAAGCCCTGTAAATTTACAGCTCCTTGCTATAATGAGCATTGTATCAGTGTACCCAGCACCACCTTTGGAATGTTATTGACTGCCAGTGCAGTGTTGGTTAGAATAGCACATTTTTTGCCTTAAATACAGGGCCAGCTCACCCGCTAGGTGAACTAGGCATTCGCCTAGAGTGCGAGCCGGCCCTTAGGGTGCCAAACTGCTCTTCAGCAGGGTGCTGTCTCGCCGCTCAGCCCCCCTCCCCACTCCAGCCGACATTGGCACGGGCTCGCACCGTCGGGGGGCGGCGCCTGCTCCTTGCCCCACCACCCCGCGCCCGGGATGGAGCAGCTGCGGTGGTGGAGGAGGTGGAGGAGGTCCAGGAAGCTGTGCTTTCTCTCGGGGCGCTGTCTTGCCGCTCAGCCCCCTCTGGCTCCGGCTAACATCGGCGCGGGCTCGCACCGTTGGCGGGCGGCGCTGCCTCCTCGCCCCACCGTCCCGTGCCCTGAGATGTTACGGGGTGATTGGGGTTCACACATTTATGCATTTCCACACTGGGTACTCTGTTACCATGATGTTGGCTTGTGCTTTCCTCTGCAATCCCATTATTCAAGCATATGAATTTGTGACTCTGACATAATCGTATCCAATGTTCCCTCTAAGCTGTGGAGTCCTGTGAGCAAAAAACTACTTTGTGAGCTACTGGACATTAAAGTTGTGAGCGAGTGACTTGGCTACTGTATAAATTAGTCTGCTCTGGAGCCATCCTTCCTGAGCTAAGACAAAAAAATCTGTGAGACGGAGGCTAAAGAACTGTGAGCTAGCTCACACTAACTCAGCTTAGAGGGAACACTGATCGTATCTCCATATGAGATCACGTGAGAAAACCCTGTGACTTCCCATCAATGTTGGCCACGTTACTCATCTGTTCTTGAACTGATCAGCCTGTAGCTGTTATTGTCATGACTTGTATGTGACCTTGTAACCTGTCCTGAGCCTGCTCACTGGGAGGGCGGGATATAAATTAAAGAAAATAAATAAATAGCTCACCTAGAATTTTTTAAAAAGCTGCACAGCTTAGTTGCCTGCCAAACAGCTGCACATCACTTGCTCGTTAAGACTCTTGAATGGCTTTTCTGTGTAGACCGTGCTGACTAGCCCTCAGTTTGAGCTCTGTGAAACTTACTAAACTGTGTGATGGACAGATCCTACTTGCTTTTCTGCTGGCACAAAAAGGGAGGGTAGGCTAAGGGAGCCACTGAATGGAGCCCGCTCATGCATGGCTTTTGTCTACATGGGTCCTATGATTTCTCCCCAGCATCCTCCTTGTGGGGCCAAAAGAGGCCCCTCTCCTTCTTTTGCTACTGGCAAAGCTGGGAAGATTCAACCCTGTGTCTCTCACTGTAAGAATTTAATATTGACAAACACAATTTCTATTAGCTAGTCTTAGGACTTTGCAAAATAACTGGTTGACAAGCTTGGGTGGTTTCCTGAACCCCGTTCTGTATATTCCTTAGACTACAGAGAGGCAAGAAGCAACAGATAGAGAACGGTAGTGGTGCAGAGGACAATGGTGACAGTTCACACTGTAGCAACGCTTCAACTCACAGCAATCAGGAGGCAGGGCCAAGTAACAAAAGGACCAAAACATCGGATGATTCTGGGCTAGAACTGGACAATAACAATACGACAGTTGCTATAGACCCAGTACTGGATGGTGCAAGTGAAATAGAACTAGTTTTCAGACCGCATCCTACCCTCATGGAAAACGATGACAGTGCGCAGACAAGGTAAGTGGGAGCAGTTATCCTGAGTTTAGAAACTGCATGGTGAATGGTGGCATGCTAGGCTTTTTGCGTTTTTTTCATATTGCGTGTCTTGTTAAACTCTTTAAAGTACTGGGTTGCTCCTCATCACACATGGCTTGGCATGGCTTGGATTGATTTGCTTGTGAACCTTTAGCAATGAAGGCAGAGAAGAAGTTGAATCAAGAGGAGATGGGCATAATGCTGCTTTTGAGGGACTAGATCCACTTCTGGTGGAGGGAGTGGAGCTGGCATTTGCAGAGCAGGTTAAAAGCTTGGGGGGGGGGTGCTCATGGACCCTGCCTTGCTGTTCGAAAAGCAGGTTGTAATGATCACTTGGGTTTCCCAATCCTCTTCTTAGGCAGACTAAGTTGACTTGGCCATGCTAATCCATGTTTTTGTAACCCTGCACTTGGATTATTGTAATAATCCAATATAGGGTGAAGACAGTTGGAAAACTACAGCTGGTTGAGATTGTGGCAGCCTAATTATGGTTAGAAACTAACTGATGGGACATACCTTGCCTATCTTAAAACAGCTACATCCAAGTCCAGTTCCAAATTCTGGTTATGACATTTAAAGCTGGCCTAGCATCCATATAACTATCAGATTGTCTCTTCCTGTGTGGACCTGCGTGCCAGCTGCAGCATGCTACCAGCTAGCTGTTGCATCACTAAGGGTACCCTGCCTGGCATCCACCAGAGCCCATACGTCTTCCATCATAGCTCCCACCCTGTGGGGTAGGTTCCCTGAGGCGGTAAAGGGGGCGCTATGCCTAGAGTGTTCAGCAAGCACTGCAGGTCTATTTTTATTTTTTATATATTTCAAATGTGAACATAAGAACATAAGAGACGCGGCGACCTCTTGTGACTGACCCCTACTGGGCGCCTGGAGGATATTTCAGACAGGTGGCTGAATAAAGCACGCTCCCTGTCTCCTGCTGGTATTCCAAGGAGGTCTCCCATCCAAGTACTTGCCAGAGTCAACCCTGCTTAACTTCCAAGATCTGATGAGACTGGGCTTGCCTGGGCTATCCAGGTCAGGGGCATTTTGCCAGGGCTTTTATTAATGGGGTATAGGTTGCAGACATTTGGAGGCTTTACTGTATACTTTATTTGTAAGTTGCCTTGGGGAAAGATGGGATATAAGTAACTGTAACGTTTATATAGCTACGTATCTACTTCTGTTGCAGATATATAAAGACCTCTGGCAATGCCACAGTTGATCACTTATCTAAGTACCTAGCTGTGAGACTGGCCTTGGAAGAACTCCGGAGTAAAGGAGAGTCTAATCAGATGAATCTTGAAACGGCGAGTGAGAAGCAGTACACAATTTACATTGCGACAGCTAACGGCCAGTTCACTGTGAGTAACTGGTTGAGCTAGAAATCTAATTGGGACAAAACGAAGTACCACAGCCTTGAGATACGCTGGTGCTTCAGCTCTTCCTGTGGCTGGCTTAGCTAAGATGCATGGATTTTTCTGTGGATTAGAATAAAGTTGCACTTTTGCAGTCAATTCAAGCATGTATATGCCTAGGCGGCTGATCCAAGCCAGAGAAATGTTTAGCGCCTTGGGTTTGAACGTGTGAAGATAAAATCCAGGTTCAGATCTCTGCTCAGCTAGCAAGTAAGCTGTGTATGTAAGTTATGTTTTTATGGTTGGCTTTAGGAGAAGTTGTCTAGTCAGCTAGTTAATTTTGGTCCTATCATTCCTACTCCAGCTTAAGAACAGTAAATGTTTCTAGCACTGGATGGCAACGTAAGCTGGAAAGACCTACTGTGGGCAGGAAAGCAGATACAACTTGAAAGCTGCTTTAAAACATCAGGTGTCCAGCTGCATTCAAGCACTCAGGGTTTCATTGAAGTTTTAGGCTTTGAAGTTCTACATATCTGCAGTGCAGAGTCAGAAGTAATCTAAGACACTTCATTTGGGCTGGTATCGAACCTGAAGAGATTTCATTTGGGCTGGTGTGGAGCTTGAATAGGTTTGGAGTTCTGTTTGTTTTATGTATTCTGAAAAAAAAAACACAACAAAACATTTTCCAGAAATGTAGCTTCTTTTAATAGAATGTCCCAAGTGAATGCTGAGCTATTGTGCTCCTCCATAGTAAACTAACAATAGCTTTATAAGCTAATTGCAATGTTATGTGGGAAGCTAGTAAAGCATCCTCTCTCTGTGAACCTGCTTTTCACTTTGGCAGTGGGGCTGAAAGCTGGTTTATGTTAGTCTGTTTATAGACTGAATGTGACTAAACACTGTCTTCTAAATGCTGTTTATAATGTACTGTGTTATTGCTTTGTTTTTTCTCTGACTATGTATTTGATTCAGTTTCAAATGTCATCATCTTTTGTTTCTGGGTTTGGCTCTAACTTTAACTTTGTCTTTAGGTGTTAAATGGCTCTTTTTCCTTGGAGCTGGTCAGCGAAAAGTACTGGAAAGTGAATAAGCCCATGGAACTCTACTACGCGCCAACAAAGGAACACAAATAAGCTTGACAAAGGCTTTGAGTTGGAACTGTATTTGCTTTTATAGCTCTGGCTTACTTTAAGTGAAACACCATCCTTTGCATCATGGACAACTGCTGAGAGAGACATGGATTCCTTGGTGAATATTCTTTACAATTTGACAGTATTTGCGTGATATTTATGTCTTTTGCTCCCCCAGAGGACTGAACAGTCTGTACATTCCACTATTGCTATCAAATATGCTTTGTAATTTGGTGATTTTTGTTTCATATGTATAATACTAGAAGCAGCAAATGTATCTTTGGGGTATCATGCTGGTTGGCTTCAGAGTGGCAGATTTCAGCCAGCACTTCGGTAAGTATTGGCAAGAGGCACTATGGAGGGTTACATCATATGGCTAGAATCAGTTTGCTAGTAACTGAGTACATGTGATGCTGAAAAAAGAAAAACAGCTCCCACACATTGCCAAGGAGAGTCCTTTTTCCCATTTGTGAATAAATGAGTGGTTCTTGTCTAATGCTGGCTGCATTTCCAAATGGGGGGCCAGCATTTGGAATGTGCGTGTACTCCCTACCTGGGTGCAAATTCCCCTCCTACCACCAGTCTGAACCCTAAGGTTACATTTAACTGTGGCTAAATTCTGGGTTGATGTACTGCTTAACGGTAATGAAAGAGTGACAGGTATGCTTGTCCTATGTGAGAGCGCAAGGTTCATGTTCCTGAGGCTGGCTTTCAACTTAATAGGGAGCTAGTGTTACAGCTACACTTGTCCTCTTAAGGGTTCAGGAAAACAATCCTTGCTGCCAGCTTGGGAAGCTTCAGGATCCAGCAGCTAACTAAATGAAAGCAAAACAAGCAAAGTGAAAAGCACAACGCTCATGATATTCTTTGTGCAGGAAATAATATTTTTGATGTTTTCCCAATCTTAGCCATATTGACAAACACCTGGCACTTATAGAAAAGTATTGCTGACAAAGCGCATAGGGCGGCTTTTAGTCTGCAACGGGTTCAAAAGTCTGAACTGAGCATTTGGTTGCTGCATTGAGGTTTAGACATAGCAGTGACTGTCGGCTTTGTTGAATCAGTAGTATGTCTTAGCCACAGCTATTGTCTGTATATACCGAGTCTCCGTTCTGTAAGGCTGATGAAACTTTTTTTTAGTGCAGTACCTGGGTCTCTGCCTCTTGAAATTAGGAAGAGAAAACTGGCTCTACATTGTTTAGGGGGAGACACATGATTATCAGGTTTTTTTGTCCGGCAGAAGGAGAACTCAGTTGTTACAGTACTTCTTATTTTTAAAACCTCTTCAATATTGAGTATTCCTAAATTATGCTAGCAGTTTGTGCCATGAAAATTACAATTACTAGAAATCGGGGGTGGGGAGGGAGGGTGTACCATGTCTATTTGATTTTTGTTGAGTACTTTTGGTGTAATGTACAACTTATATAGCTTGCTAGTGCATGTCCACTAAATATAATCTGGTTTCTTTTTGTGAGAAAAATGCTTTTGTATGGGCAAACATCAGCTGCAGCAGAACCATAAATTTGCATTGTGATTTTTATCTAAGGTTTAGCCCTATAAGCAGGATAGTGTCTGTAAAATTTTGAAAGTTTATTTACCTAAGGTGTGTATTGTTCCCAACTTAAAAGTATGGGAGAATGTGAATTTTTACTTACATGTTACAGTGAATTTACTGAATATTTATATTTACTTAAAATACATAAAGTAGTTGTTTTAATCAAAAAAAAAACCCCGAATTGCTGTGTGCCTCATTACAGCTTTGAGAACAACTTGTAGATGCAACGTTGCCATAGATGGTAACGTTGCCATTTTGCAATAGAATTTCAGACTTACAGCAGTGATGCTGAAATGGTGAGGCTGGGACACAGAGCACATTAAAGAGGGGCTTGATTCCAGGGAGGGCTTAGTTCCTGATGCAGGTGCTGACGTTTCCCTCCAGGTACCCAAGACCTGGGTAAAAAGGCTATCCCTAAGCTCCGTCACCCAAACGTGATGTGAGAAGAATGGAGCTCAGAGGGGTCTTGCTTCGTTTCGTCTGTGTGCTCTAAGAGGGTTAAAGATCCTGTTCTATGCCATTTCTAATGGCAATCTGTATGTACATTACTGCACACAAGGATTTTTACCTGTGGAATAGATTGTGGGCCACATGGAGCATATCTCTAGAAGAAGGCAGACGAAGTTCACAAGAGACTTCAGGTATCTAACAGGAATACGATCTGGAAATCAAATACTCTTAAACTGAGGCAGGTCCTATACCATTCTGCCTCAGAGGAAGAAATAAGGTTGCAGTATGTCAAGAGCAGCTGCATGCTAATTTATATCCACATCAACAAGCTTTCCTCCTGCTGCTAATTATTATTTGAGGATACTAAGCCTTTTATTGGAGTAGGAATAGCCAGAATTTCCTGTCAATATTCATCACATGGCACTGCTGATGTCTTTTGAGTATCTGATCTTTAGTACACTAGCAGAGCACCCACATTACTTAGAAAGAAGTTATTGATGCTGTATTTGAAGAAACGTCAGCACTGCATAACACACTTTTGTGTAGAAAAATAAATGGTCATTACTGCCTCATACTTTGCCCAAAGGAAGCAGTGCATGAAGCCTGTTGCAGTAGTAAAAGTAAAACAAAACTTAATTCATGATTTGGTTATCTCCACCAAGACACACTTGAGGAGTCAGTTTTGTTGCTCCAGCAGTTGTTTCTCAGGAGAGACTTGTTGAATTGCTACTGTGAGATCCCGAAGTAATGCCAGAGGAGAGGTTTCTGCCATATCCCAGCTCTTAATAAATCAACCCTCAACAAAAGAACATTTTATTAAGTTGTAGTAATAACACAAGTGCTTGGTACCTCAGCTCCCTGCTATTCCATCATCTTCGTCAGCGGTATTATATATCTGAAGAAGAAGTTCCAGAGACACGGGAAGTTCAGGATAGCTGCAGAATTCAATAACTAAAAGAAGAACGGGCAGTAAAAATGAAATAATTTAAAACCGAACGACAGTCTCGGGAGAGCAGACGAGTGGCTGTTGTTCTGTTGCTGTTCTAAAATGATCCCAGGTCATGCCGTCTCTAGAGATCACTGGCTCATTTGTACTTCTTGAAATAAATCTTCAGGTGTTTTTTTTTTTTTTTAAAGTCAAACCTCTTGCCAGAAGTGTCATTTTACATGCTTTCTTCTGTGAAGTCACCGTCAGTTCCTGCCTGGGAATCCTCCAGAGCCTGCGTAGAGCCTTCGGATTGCCCTCCTGTGTAAGTGGGTGTGCTGTACTTCACGAGAATCGATTTAAACTGTACCAGGGGGGCATCAGTGCGAACGCCCATGGGGTCAAAATGAGTTCGACTTACTCGATACCCAGCTTCAGAGAGGTAATGCAAGAACTTATTTAACCTAGAGGGGAAAACAAGAGCATAAAATGAATGGAGGCTGGCTTGACAGGAAGCAGAGTAGGAATAAGTGGACAGTTCTTGTCCTGGAGTGAAGTGGGCAGTGAGGTTCCCACAAGAATCAATGCTAGGACTGGTGCTGTTTAATTGTTCATAAATGATCTGGATTAGTGGCAAGCAGTGTAGTGACAGAGTCTGCGGATGATACCAAATTACACATGATGGTGAAAACCAAGGCAGACTGAAGAGCTACAGGAGGATCTCTCTGGGTGAGTGGGCAGCCATGTGGCAAATTAAGTTCAACATAGATATGTGTAACATGATGCATAAACAAAAGATCCTAACTTAAAATTAGGGATGGGCACGAACTGAACCACGAAGCCCTATTTGCAAGTTAAGTTTGTGGCAGGGCACTCAGCATGACCTTTCTATACTCCTGAATCTCAATCATTTTGACAGGCACAAGTTCAGGAGTGTACAGAACGGATCCTGTGCAAGCTAGAGACACCAAACTTGGAGGGCAGGTAGAGGAGAGCCAGATGGAGATCCCGTGTGAGTTTGGTGCGTCCAGCTTGCACAGGATCCGTTCTGTACACTTCTGAATCTTCTGAACCTGTACCTGTCAAAGTGACTGCCTGTCAGCTTTCCTGGGGACACCTTCTTTGGGGGTCCATAAGTTGGACCCCATAAACTCAATCCTCACCAAACGTAAGAGTGCAGGCAGAAGAGAGTCAGATGGAGATCCCGTGAGTTTGGTGTCTCTAGCACACCGAGGGGGGGGGCATTCTACTGCACCATGAATTTTATTTATTTATTTATTATTTATTTATTTTATTATATATAACAGGAGGGAAAGGCTAGGGCCGCAAACAGATATTACCCAGCCCTCCGACAGTATCGCTCTGTGATAGAGCGGTAGTGGCAGTGGCGGCTCCTACTCAAAAGCCTGGTGGAAGAGCTCCGTCTTACAGGCCCTGCGGAACTGCACAAGGTCCCGCAGGGCCCTGATCTCCTCCGGGAGCTCATTCCACCAGATAGGAGCTGCCACTGAAAAGGACCTGGTCCTCGTTGCGGCAAGCCTGGCCTCCTTGGGGCCCGGGGTCACCAAGCAGTGTTGTGACCCTGACCGAAGTGCTCTTTGGGAAATATATGGGGAAATGCGGTCCCTCAGCTCAAGCCTTTCCCCGCATGTTTCCCCAAGGGCACTATGGTCGGGGAGTCAAAATCTCCTGGTAATCTCAGGCCCCAGGAATATCAAATTTGCTGTTACCAGGGCCAGGGCGTTTTCGGTGGCAGCTCCTACCTGGTGGAACGAGCTCCCAGAGGAGATCTGTGCCCTGCGGGACCTTGTGCAGTTCCGCAGGGCCTGTAAGACGGAGCTCTTCCACCAGGCTTTTAAGTAGGAGCCATCACCACCATTATTCCACTATCATTACCCCTCATCATCGCACCTCGACCATCAATTGTGCGGATATTAAATGGGGTACAAGACGTTCCTGATGGGATGATTGTGTTGCTAGGAGGTACGTTGTTAGCCTGGAATTAATAACTTCTACCAGACCCCCATCTTGCAACCACTGATTTTGTGACATCTAGAGCACCGACATTTTAGTGTTTTGTACTGTATTGTTTTATTCTGTTTTTATCTGTTTTAACTTTGGCACTTGTACCTCTTTGTTAGCCGCCCTGAGCCTTTGGGGAGGGCGGGATATAAATCCAATAAATAAATAAATAAGAACTGAACGAACCGGTTCATAAGGCAGCTAAAAATTCGTCACGATCTGTACTTGGCAAATGGGGCACATCACGATCCATGAACTGAACTGAATTTTTTCAGTCTGTGCCCATCCCTACTTAAAATATATGCCAATGGGGTCTAAACTGGCCAAAATCAAAATGGAAAGAGATCTTGCGGGTGTAATGGATAGCTCAGTGAAAATGTCAACTCAGTGCATTGCAGTGAAATGCGGGGGATGTTTATGAAAAGGATTGCCTGTTAACTGACCAGTCTTGTGAGAGCTTTTATAGAGCTATGATGTGGCTCCATTTGGAATACTGTGTACAGTTCTGATTGCCATATCTCAAATAGGATATTGCAGAGCAAAAACATTTCAGAAGAGAGCATTCAAAATTATCAAAGGGTTCACACACCTTTCCTATGAGGAAAGACTAAAAATCTGGGATTTTTCAGAAAAAAGGTGATTAAGAGGCTTATTAAATAATGCATGGGGTAGAAAGAGTGGATAGAGAACTTTTTCTACCTCTCCCGTAAGACTAAGACTTGTGAGCACCCAATGAAGTTGATGGGCAAACAGGTTCAGGACAGACAAAAGGAAATGTTTCTTTACTCAACAATTAAATTGTGGGATTCTTTGCCAGCCAATGCAGTAATGGGCACAAGCATAGATGACTTTAAGAGGAAATTAGCTTCATGGAGAACACTGGTCTTATCCAGCAGGGCTATTTTATGTTCTTAAGGCTACAGCACAGAGCCAGTTTGGTGTAGTGGTTAAGTGCGTGGACTCTAATCTTGGAGAACCGGGTTTGCTTCCCCACTCCTCCACTTGCACCTGGCTGGATGGCCTTGGGCAAGCCGTAGCTCTGATAAGAGCTGTTCTTAAGAGCTGTTCTTGAAAAAGAGCAGTTTCTGTCAGCTCTCTCAGCCCCATGTACCTCACAGGGTGTCTGTGGTGGGGAGGGGAAGGGAAAGGAGTTTGTAAGCTGCTCTGAGACACCTTTGGGTAGTGAAGGGCGGGGTATAAATCCAATCTCCTCCTCTTCTTCTCTTCCCCATTCAGTCTTAGTTGTATCTTTAAAATAGGTTACTTACTTTGGCATATTCATTCCTTTAATACTGTGTCTATGGATATTATAATAAAAGGCAGGATGTTCAGCGTTACTCTCAAGCCTGTGTCGTTTTGGTCCATTTTGGTTCATTTCGTTACTCTTTCTTTTTCCTGGAACACAGGAAAGGTGTAATGATTTCATGTTAACGACAGCACAGAAGAACCTTTGAAATACAGATAACCTGAACAGTGTGGGCCCAGCTTTACCCTCTGACACAAAATATTTATGATTCATATCCTTTTAGAGCTAACTTGTGACTGCAGAAGATGGGGGTGTGCCATCCTTCTGGCAACTGCTACCTACCGTAGTAATCTGCTGCAGCATCTGGTGTCTTAATAAACACACCACACTCTTCTGAAACACAAGAAAATCAGAATGAGTTTGGGTCTGCATGGGAAAAGAAGTTCACAGTGCTTACATAAAAGAGAAATGTGAATGACTTAAGCAAGCCCTTTTACCACAAAAGGCTAAGACTCCACAACCAGCTTCGGCAGCTGCCAGTGCTTACTCACCATGCATTAGTTCTTTCATTCGAGTGCTCTGTGCCGAAATCTTAGTTTTGTCCATTTAGGGGGACACCTGTATTTCCCAGAAGCCTTCACACACTTCTATTTGTCTGGGTTGTGGGCCATGCATGTTAATATACTGCATGTCACCATTATCCACAAGGTACTCAAAACTATGGGCCACAGGCTCTTGCTATCTGTGTTGTGCTTTGTGGGTGTAGCCAGAGCTTGCACTGTGTATTGTTCCAGCATTTGGCAGAGAGCCAATGTTCTCGGAGAGATCATTAATACAAGTACACAGAAGTTCTTAATGGCATGAGAAGTTGATGAGGGCTGATCCTTTGCGTGAGTCTTGCAGAAAGGGGTGTCTGGTCTAATGACAAAATCATGTCTGGCACTGGTGCCTACTGAGTTCCAGAAGAAGGCATGATGTGACGTTTTCTTGCAGATAACATCACATGTGGAAGCAGTGACTTATGCTGAGGGAATACATTCTTTTGGCCATGTGTGCTGAAAACAGGCTGTGTATACATCACTACTATGATAACACATGGTATTATCAATGGTAATACATATTGTGTCCTTCACCACAGAACAGGAAGTCAACGTGATTGTGAGTGTTTGTGAAAAAACTTCATCCTAAGGGAACAGAGTCCAAGGGATATGAGGCTAGTAGAGTAGCATAAAAAGGTAAAGGTTCCCTTGCTCGAAAGCCAGTCGAATCCAACTCTAGGGTTACGGCGCTCATCTCTGTTTCAAAGCCGAAGAGCCAGCGCTGTCCGAAGACATTTCCGTGGTCATGTGGCCGGCATGACTAAACACCAAGGCGCACGGGACGCTGTTACCTTCCCACCTAAGTGGTCCCTATTTATCTACTTGCAATTTCTTGCTATCGAACTGCTAGGTTGGCAGGAGCTGGAACTAGAGACGGGAGCTCACTCCATCATGCGGCACCCGGGTCTCGAACTGCTGCACTACTGACCTTCCACAGCGTGCAGTTCAGCGTTTTAACCACTTGAGCCACCGCAGCTCCAGAGTAGCATACAGAGGTCCAATTTACTAAGCAACAAACACTGTAGCATACAGAGGTCCAATTTACTAAGCAACAAACACTGACCCTACTCATGGTACCTTTCTACAGAAGTGCTCAGAACTGAAAAAGTGACTCCTTTTACTGAAAGGTGATACTGCAGCCAGACTAGAGGAATAGCAAACAGCCTCTTGCCTTGTCAGGAAACTAGACTGGGGCACATGCTCTTGAGTAAGAACATTTGACTTAGCTGAATAATAACCACAGCTATCATAACAAGGCTGGAAAACTCCACAATTTGAAGCTTATGAGAATCCAACCAATTTAAAAGATACTGCACATAGTTTTGGAACTTCCACAATAATAATTGGTGTTTGTATGTGAAAAGCCTATCGCTGGTAATTTGCTATCGCTTCACAATGTTTATCCGGGTGACGTTTTTAACAGAAAGGGTTTTGAAAAACTTTGCTATTGCATCTTCTCACCTTGTTTGTTATGGCTGCTGGGGCCGTGTATTGAAAACTGTTTGTGAGTTGTGCACTCTGCTTCACAGATGAGTGTTTTCAGAAGGGTCTGGATGTCATCCAAACCATACTGAACTGCTTCAAACAACATTCTTCTTAGAAATCCAGGGTTAAAGAGGGACCCTGACCTGGAAAATAACAATTTGACTCCTTAGAGAAGTGTATTTAAAAAGTAGAACCATTGAACCATCTATATTCAACAAAAAGGCTTGGATTCTTCAACTGGAAGGTGATGACCCGGGAAAAGTCTTAGCTGCCCAGGTAGTGTTTCTCCCCACCCCACCCCTTTCTGCTCCCAGCCTTTTAAGGGTCCGGAGTGTTCCATTTAGTGTTACACAATTTTGATTAACCACTGCTTTTTTATATTTGCCATGGAGGCTGTCAGTGTTGTCACCTCCTTCCCTGCAGAGCAGGGGTGCCTTGTAGAAGAAGACTACTTGGTTTTCATGCCCCACTTTTCTCTACCTCAATGAGTCTCAGAGTGGCTTACAATTGCCTCCCCCTCCCCAGAACAGGCACCTTGTAAGGTAGGTGGGGCTGAGAGAGTTCTGAGAGAACTGTGACTGGCCTAAGGTCACCAATGCAGGCTTCATGTGGAGGAGCGGGGAATCAAACCTGGTTCTCCAGATTAAAGTCCACTGCTCTTAATCACCACACCACACTGGCTCTTCAATGTTTCTTAAGTCTGAATACTCCCCAAACAGCATCAGGCAAAATCTCCATGGTCATTTTAACATCTCCCTACTAAAAAGTTCTGGAAGGCTTGGAGACTGTTTTGTGTCATTTTGATTGCTCATAATAAATTGTATTACATTGATTTGTTTTACGTTCTTCAGACGTAGGGCTATCAGGAATTTTTTTTATGCATCACACTCACGTGTTCTGTGTTTGTGAATTATATAAGCTGTAGCTTTAAAAGTTAAATTGTGCAGCCAGAAAAAGCTGAATTTGGCAACCTGGATAAATCTTAGGAGTTTTGTCTATATCTGCTTATTCAAGTAATCTGATTTCAGCTTCTGTATGAACAGATCATAAAACCTTCCCAGAAGGCTACTAGGGATATGCTTTAAAGTCATTCCGCAAGCCTGGCTAAGGTTGTTTTGACCTAATATAATGCTTTAAGATCTTTGAAGCAGTAAGAACTAGAAACTTGAGAGCCAGTTTGGTGTAGTGGTTAAGTGTGCGGAGAACTGGGTTTGAGTCCCCACTCCTCCACTTGCACCTGCTGATGTGACCTTGGGTCAGTCACAAACTCTGGCACAGCTGTCCTTGAAAAAGAGCAGTTTGTGTCAGAGTTCTCTCAGCCCCACCCACCTCACAGGGTGTCTGTTGTGGGGAGGGGAAGGGAAAGGAGTTTGTAAGCCGCTCTGAGACTCCAAGTGAAGGGCGGGGTATAAATCCAATCTCTTCTTCTTCTTCTTCTAGAAATCCTTTTAGAAAAACCTCGTTTGTGTGTCAAATATCCACCTTTTACTGGAAACAGAAGCTATCTTATTTTTCTACATGAACTGTTTTAAATTTGTGTACAGTAATGTATAACCTTTTTTAGGGGGCTCACCTTACATTCAGGGTCATCTTCTTCCTTTCAGGTAAATATGGCACTTCTTGTCATTGTACAGTAAATACACCCTACCATTATACTAGACATAGAGTGGGGAAGTGCCTGTGGCTGAGACATTGATGAACACTTGCCAGGTAACAGTAGACCATTCTAGGCCTGATGGACCAATGGTTCTGCTCATAAGGCAGCTCCATATGCCACATACAGGACAGTGCATATGAACCCTCTATTTCTGCACCAATAAACATAAATACTTTGACAAACAAGTGAGACTGTGGTGTTAGCTGAAATACTAATACTCTCTTTAAACATTCTTGGGGATTGCTGCTACTTGATAGTTCCTCTCCCTCCCCCAAATATGAAATCATTTAAAATATTTTGAGGTGACAAACTGTACACTGTGGTAGTTAATGAAGCCATCGCAGCCAGAAGACTTGAGATATTCTTTTAGTAGTGTGGGACATCCCTCTCCCTGGAGCAACAACCACCACTATGGTAAATAAATGCGTTTCTAAAACAGGGTTCCTACGTCATGGTCAAATAGCTGCCTTATGGATTTCCCAGCCCTACTTTGTTAGCATTGTCTGACATTTGCAAGGCTAAGCTCCTCAGAGTGAAGAAAGAACTGTTTGAGTCTCCCCAGCTCAGGAGAGATCATGTGACCTTTCATAACCCTTTAAGCATCTCACTCCCCTTTGGCAGCCACCAGTGTCTCCTTAGTAATGCCTGCCTGGCTGTCTGAAAACTGAGAAACTCTACGTACCATAGAGGGCCGAGTTCAACTGCCGTCTTCCCTGTCATACTACTGTGGCAGTCACAAGGGAGCTGCCGATAAGGATTCTCTGTAGGGAACGGTAGGGAAAAAAAGTATTAGCGTGTATTCAATAAGCAAACACGTGAGGCTTGTTTTCAAAAAAATCATGAATCTAATGGAAATGCAATATGCTAAGTAAAAAAAAAACCACCCACACTAATTAGCAAGCGTGGTTGAAGCAACTGCCTGCAGGAGGTGTTATTAAGTGCAGCGTGAGTCAGACTGCGATGCCATGGTATCAGGGTGCTCTTTCAGAATCCAGTGGGAGGCCATTCAGAAAAGCCAAACTGTGGCAAGCTGGTTTGTTGGATTAATTTTCTCTACAATACACCTCACAAAAGCTCAGTAAGGAGCACAGGTAAGCCTTTCCTATCCTAGGTGGTAGTGTGATGCAGTGGATGATGATAGATTTGTGCAGGAGTTTTGGATTCCTGCTCACCATTGACAGGCGTGCATGGTCTAATCTACCTCACAAGACTGTTGCAAGGATAAAAGGGGGGAGGGGCTACTGCCCTGAGCACCTTGAAGGAAGAGCAGAATAAAAACAACAACAATTTGTCATGCAGCCCACAATACTAAAGCACCCTTTATTAGCACAGAGGTCAAGACTAGCTTTTCAACACCAACAAAACCAAAACAGACGCTGTGATAGTTCTGTTTTCATCGACCGGATCTCACGGGCATCAGCCTTAAACTATGTGCATATAGAAACAGATGGTTACCTTCTATCATGTTGCCCTCTCTCTTAAATACCCTCTCTTCACACCACTGACAGTGGATGAGGTACCGAATTTTCTTGACAGTCTCATCTGCAGGAGAGGGTCCTCTCAATACTCTCACCTCTACAAGAACAAAGTGTTCTAGGGCCACCGCAAACAAAACTTCAATGCCTTTGTTGCATCGAGCAGCAGCTCTGCAAAAAAGACATGCTACTACTTAGGAAATTCAGCAAGAACTTTCCCTTCCTAAGTGTTCTGCTTTGTTCACAGATCTAACTTGTCCCTGAAAGTTTCTAGTTTAGACAACCTGCCCGGTTCTGAAGGTTTATAGTGACTGCGAAGGTTGTGCTGTCACAGCTAACCAATTTCCTTACATGACTTTCTATATTTCCTACTTTTACATTAATAAACTGCATGACTCAGAATGCCATCTAAGTTTTGAGTACAGTGTGTGTGTGTATGTGTGTGGTGCCACCAAGTTGTGGCTGGCTTTTGGCAACCCCACAGAGTTTTCAAGGCTAGTGATTAAGCAGAGGTGGTTTGCCATTGCCGCCTTCTGCAAAGTCTTCCTTTAGCGGTCTCTTATCCAACTACAAAGCCTGCTTAGCTTCTGAGACATGATGAGATCAGGCTATACTATACCATTCCACATTCCTTTGAGTGCAATAAAGGGGTCAATGTATCAGGAATCCAAAGCCTAAGAACCGTTGTTCATTTTTTAAATACAAACAGTCCATTCTTGAAATGGCATCTAGAACTAAAAATCTGAAGGAAAAATAAAAACCCTTGACCCCAGCCCTTATTGAGCTGATAAATCTGTCTTAGGGCTGTTTAATTTCGGATTGGAGGTGGGGTGCACAAAGAATGAAATGTATAAAATCCCTTAACATTAGGGCTGCCAGGTCCTCCCTCCTTCCCAGCGGGGGACTTTGGAGGGGGTGGGGACATCCTCAACACGATGACATCATGCAGAAGTGATATCATCACACTGGGGACGCGCCTGAATCCCAAGTGGCAAATGCTTTGAGTTCAGGCGTGTACCCCCCCTAAAAAAAAAAGCATTTAAAGGGACCCTTTAAATGCTTTTTGAGGAGTGAGGCCCTCACACACCTGAATCCCAAGTGGCAAATTCGCCGCTTGGGGGTCAGGCATGCAGCTGGCGGCTGCCCCTCTCCCTCCTATAAGGATGAAAGGGCCCTCCAGCTGATTGGCGAGCCACATGCTCCTGCCGATCAGCTGGAGGGCTCTTTAAATCTCACAGGAGGGATGGTTGCAGGTGGTCGCTCTTGGAGCAGGGCTTGGGGGCGGGTCTTGCCCTGCTGGCCAGTGGCAGGTAGGAGCCCCTGAAATTGAGGGATCCCCTGCCCCCACCTTGGGACTGGCATCCCTAGTTAATATAGAAAACCAGGTGTCAGGGAGATGGGACTCTGCCTTGCCTTCTTGCCTGCTGTCCAGGTGTTTGTTTCACTACATAAAATTATACACTGATAAGAATGCTAGAACACGAGACAGGCTGACACATTTTAACAGCTCTAAATGTCTTCCCATGTGGTTCAAATTGGAGAGGGATGAACACAGACATAGCATGAGGAGGAGGAGGCGTGATGAACAGTCCTAGCAGCCTCCTCCTGCCTCAGATATGCAGCTGTGGGAAGCTTGATTAAATTCTCAGTCTGGAGGAAGGAGCGCTAACAAGCAGGGAGGGGAAAAGACTTCACTTCTGATGTTTGAAGCTGAACTCACAGCTTCTCTTTACTATCAGGAGCCAGCTGTTTCCTGTACTGTCCAAAGTTAAAAGCAGAGATTTCTCCCAGATGCTTGCGCTGTTGTTCTCCAGGTCTGCAGAACCAGTCACCCATCAAGCTGAACACAACGTACAAGCCATGTACTGTATCCACCAGAGGCTCAATCCCATTTAATGCCTGCTGGTGACTGAAAAAAAGGACTGTAAAGTACCCAGCAGGTCCCAGTACATGGCTGTCGATCTGTATTCAGTTTCATGTGCCACACTGTGAAGTCCTCATCTGAGCTGTTTAATTTGCTTTTACAGCAGGTACCTTTCTGGCTAATTCTTGAAGACTGCTGGAAAGAATGATGCCATTTTCCGCAGTCTCTACATGATAGAATTCAATTAGGGGGAAAATGCTGCTTCCATCTCGTAGCAGAGTGTGAGACAATTGCCCTTCAGAAACTGTAAGTGTACCTTGCCACAGCAGCAACTATCATGCGAGCTGCCAGTTCCTTGTAATATTCTGTCCTCACAATGTTGCAACCGTAGTGGCGCTGAGCCACATGCTGAGCCTTGGCATACAGAGAGCTGGTATCTGTCGATGTCACTGACACAATACCAAGGTTTCTTACATTTCTGAAAGCTGCATCTAGATAGTTTACTGAAGATCCAAATGGGTCCAGATGTCTGTTTGGTAGAGTGGGCAAGAGTACATAAACATACATTAAAAATCGTACACAAGATTTACAGCACAGTCTTATTCATGTTTACTCAAAAGTTAGTATCACTGGGTAGTGTTCTACAATCTGGAAGGGGCAGCAGATGTTTCAGACCTTCTTCCTTCCTTCAGTAGCCCATTGTGATGCCAACCCAGCTCAGAACGTTCACTGAGATCCTCCTTCGAGGCCCTTCTCTGGGTCCTCTTCCATCTTAGGCAAGGTAGGGAAATCTAGACATCTGTTTATTTACATGATTTCTGTCTTGCCTATAAAGTAGGCTCAAGGTGGCTACAAATAAAATATAATCTTACTTGGAGCTATAAAGATATGCATCATTATCACAGAATCATAAGAGTTGGAAGGGGCCATACAGACCATCTAGTCCAACCCCCTGCCCAATGCAGGACCAGCCTAAAGCATCTCTGACAAATATTCCTCCAGACTCTTCTTGAAAGCTGTCAGTGAAGGGGAGCTAACCACCTCCCTAGGCAGCTGACACCACCTTTGAACTACTTTGAATTATACAGCATCACACTTGGCTATGGTGTCACATCCTCAACACCTTTCTAAAAAGTTCGCCAGATAACCTTCTCGGTGGACATCTAAGTGCTAAAGACCATTTTGTCTCAGCAGGTTTTTGATTGATCCTCCACCTGATGTGTTTTGGTTTGCTATAATTACAACTGATGTGGTGTTGAGAAAGAGACTGATATTTGCTGTTTATGGATTTATATCTGCCGACACACACACGTCACATGGACTGTGCATACATATATTCCCACAGGCTTAAGGGAAAGCTGCTTGAATCACCTGTTGTGAGAGGTTTTCACATAGAAGGTACTTGACTGCTTTTCATGTTAATGAAGCTTACAGACACATACAGCTCCTAGCCTTAAGGAAAGAGAAGCACATTTTCGCCATTGTTAGCAGAAACAACAGCTAAGGACAGATAACATTACCAGAGGACTTGATGTCACGCAATACACGGATCCGATCTACATCTGAATTGCCATTTCCTGGCAGATGTTGCTTTGATTGCCTGGGAAAGCAGAGATCTATCTACACATCAAGGAAGGTCCTGACGCCAAGACTTCACACTTGACCAGATGGCTTGTCCCTAAGTTAGAGTTTAGTGTTTCAAATATTGGCCAACCCCTAAAGTAGACGCCCTTACTACACGCACCAATGGTTGTAGTCATGGGACGGACTTACAGGTAGGTGGGTTCCCAGCTTGGCAAGGTTGCCACCCACACCAAAGATTCATCTATAAAAGGTGAAGACCATGTGTTGGGTCTTTGCTAGCCGCAAACCTCTCATCATCCTCTGTCTGCTTTTATCCCCTAAAGTCCAGCTTACTATCCAACAACCCTTTTTGTCTATTCTTGATCTCTCGGTGTGCGCAACCATAGAGGTCCATACTTGCCGGCTGGTTCTGGCAGTGTGAGTTAGAAATACCCCTAGGTACTATTTTCTTACCCCTCAATTCTTCATTGCAACAGACAAGGCTTCAGGAAAGATAAGTATAAACTGTGTACCTACCTACCTCCTAAGTAAAAAGGAACTATTTTTCTATTTCTGTACTCCTAAGGAACTTGATTGTATGTGTGTGAGATTCTGTTTTGTGTGTATGCGATTTTGATATTCTTCAGTAAAAGACAAATTGTTTTGAATTCACCAGTCTCGTCTCTCTCACTGGGACATTCTTGGGGTGAATCGGACCTCCGTAAACTTTGGCAGGAACCCATATAAATTTAGTTTGCCATCTGTTGTAGATAAAGCAGATTGGCTAACAGTGGTAAAATGTGCTGTCCTTCGTACTGTTGTATATTTTTATGCCGCTTTCCCAGACCCAATACAGAGTTCCAAAGTGGTGAACATTAGAAAGATTTCAGCATGTTAAAAACAGTGTTTAAAATACAAATATAGATTATTTAAACCCACAAAAATAGGGAGGAGAACTAATAAGAGTTAATGAAGGAATAAAGGTAAAGGTTTCTCTTGCTCGAAAGCCATCCGAATCTGACTCTAGGGGGCAGTGCTCATCTCCGTTTCCAAGCCGAAGAGCTAGCGCTGTCCAAAGACTTCTCCATGGTCATGTGGCCGGCATGACTAAGCACCGAGGTGCACGGAATGCTGTTACCTTCCCACTGAAGCGGTACCTATTTATCTACTTGCAATTCCTTGCTTTCGAACTGCTAGGTTGGCAGGAGCTGGGGCCAGAGACAGGAGCTCACTCTGTCATGCGGCACCAGGGTCTCGAACTGCTGAGCTACAGACCTTCCAGTCTGAAGCTCAGCATCTTAACCTCTGAGCCACCACGGCCACTTCAACAAAAATGTCTTCATCTGCTGGCAATGATAGAGGGAGTCAGATGAATCTCCCTGGGGCTGGAGTTCTGTCGTTTCAGTTCTACAACAGAGAAGGTCCTTTCTCAGGATGCCACCTGTCTAGTCTCAGAGACGAGAACACCCAATGCAGGGCCTCCAAACATGACCAAAGTGGTTGGGTAGGTTCATATAGGAGTACGTAGTCCTCAAGGTATGCTTGCCCTAGCCATACAGGGCTTCAAGTCAATACCAGCATCCTGAACTTGTCCCAGAAGCAAATTGGGATCCACTGTAGGTAGAACAAGACTGGAATTATATAGTCCCTACAACTCTCTCCAGGCAGCACTCTGGCTGCAGCATTCTGTTCCAACTGTAGCTTCTGGACAGTCTTCAAGGGCAGCCCCACATACAGCACATTGCAACCCTCTAATCTAGAGGTTACCAGGGCATGCACCACAGTGGCAAGACCTTTGGTAGCCAGGAAGGCCCACAACTGGCTCACTAGCTAAAGCTGATTAAAGGTGTCCTGGTCACCGCTGTTACCTATTGATGCAAACAGGAGGCCTGGGTCCAGCAGCACCCCACCCTAAAAACCTGCCTCTTTAGGGGGAGTACAACTCAACCAGAACAGGAGATATTGCAACTCCTGGGTCAAACCTCCCCACTCACCAGCAGCAGCTCCATTTTGTCAGGATTAAGTTTCAGCTTGTTAACTTTCATCCATTTAAACTGCCTCTACGGCTTGCACTCTCCCTGTCCATCTCCTGGAGCAGGTCTTCCACCAGGGCAACCAAGGCCCGTTTCTGTCCCAAAACTAGGCCCGAAACCTGATTGGAATGGATTCAAACAATCCTCTTCATTTAATAATCCATGAAGTTACCCAGCCACGACTCATTAAATCACTGTGCTCAGCAGTGGTACAGAATATTTCCCAAATCCCAATACCATACCAATATCAGGATTCAGGAATATCGGGAAATACCGCTATTTTTCTGGCTCCATATATCTGATTCCAAAAAATACCAATTATTTTTGCACCCCCCAGTGGTGATATGCTTCTACAATATCCAGTTCTTGAATTTATTTCATTTTATACCCTTTTTCAGTAGCTGAATATTCCATAAAATGGAATTTGTCACTGTCAATAAATCATTGTTGTCTTTCCACTTTGATCTTCCACACCGAGCTATACTCCCCTGGGGATCTGAGAAGCATCAGAGAAGGAAAGTACTGCAATGAGAGGTAACTTACATAAAATCAAATGCTCTCAAGTACATGATGACATTGGCATCCATTTGTGTCACCTCAATGGTAGGAAAGTTTTCCTCCCCTTCTTCCAATGTTAAATCACAGTCATCTTCCTCTTTGCTGCTAGTCACCACCTTCATCTTATTTAAGTGACAGTTCTCGTGTATCATTGTCACAGAATTCGCGTTATAATCATTAATGGTGACTTTTACAGAATTTCCAAGATGCTTTGCCCACTGTAATCCCATTATACCTAGAGGGCAAAAGACATGCAGTGGTACAGTTATATGCATGCATTGTGGTAAAGCGATTTCTCCTTTCTTTAAACCAGTTTCCAGAGAAACAGACTCACATTCTCAGTGCATGTAATGGAAAACAAATTCTAATTCCTCCATACATGCTGTGAACTGAGGTTGCTCCCTCTAAGGCTGGAAAATATGCAGATATTTGCTCCCAGTACGGCTGCCAAAAGCAACAAGACTTTTACGAATTCTATTCCAAGTATCTTATTTATTTCCATTATTAGTATCTCCTCTGCTGGGATGGCCCAGGCACATGACACAATGTGAATACAATCTATTTTTTACAAAGAATACTAAGTGAATCCAAGGCCAGGACAAGACCCTACCAGTGGCTCCAAATGCATCCAGGCACTCCAGAGGCTTCCGCTCCTCGGCTAAAACAGCTAAAGCACAGACTACCAACTGCCTAAAAGAAAAGGAATCCTGATGAAAACAACTGTAAAAATACACACTCGTTATTTATTCTTGCTTGATCTTTAGTGGCATTTTCTAAAAAAGGTTTGCAGAATAGCATCAAAAAGGGTTTTTGTCCCTGTCATCATTATTATTGTTGCCTTAAGTCTAGCAGATGGTCAGATTGAGGTTTCTGATAGAATAAACTCCCACTACTATAACGTGGCAACACACATGCAGAACACAGCAAAAAGGAACCGCTGACTCCAGCACTGATCAGGGCCAGTGGGACAATCCCCCATCAACTCAGGCTGCCCCCACCCCCTTCTGCCTGCCTCCTCGCTATCCTTACCAGATAGTCGAAGGAGTGGCAGGTTGCTGGCGAAGTCAGCCCCTGTCTTGTCTTTTACCTGAGCACTGCAAGCAAGCAAGTCCTTCCCTTTCCTTACACCAGGTCAATCCGTACCAGTATATTAGTTCATTGGGAAGGCTCCAAATGCCTGACTGATCAATACAGCCATAGGAAGCCACTTATTCGGCCTGTTAATGTTTCTCCTTTCTCAGGGAAGAGGGATTGGTAAGAAATATCGAGTCATCAGGGACTATTTCAGATAAAGAGATTCTATGGCTACCAAAGTCAAAATGAACTCGCGTTCTTTCTTTCGAGCCTCTGTTTCCCCTCTACATTCACAGTCAGGCCCGTACAACAGAATAAACCAAGGGTGGGGTTTCTTTCAGCCCTCCTCCTTCAAATGAGAAGGAGGCTACCATTTCCTTTTACTAAGTTCAGGAGAGGAGGATTCATGCGGATGTGTTTTGCGATGACATTTCGCTGCACCAGCAACTTAGTGTGAGGCCAAAAATATATATACTGTCTTTCAGCCTTTCCCCTGGTTCTGAGACAGCAGAAGGAAAGTAACTCCTTCAGTAACTTAGTTGCTGAGTAGAAAATGGGAGCTCCCCACCCCCACTATAAACTTCTTTGCCCAAGGAAAACCAAACCTTCTTCAGTCCAGTCTGCAATCCTCTAGACACCTGCCTGAAAATAAATCCTATTGAGTATAGGAGAACTAACTTCTGGTTAAACATGCATAGGTTGCACCATTAGTAGTCAATTACAAACACTCTGTACATACTCTCAAGCCTTTTTGTTTCCAGAAGTTCTGAAAAATGTTGCCTCCTGAAAGCAAAGAGATTCTGGGGCTTCCGGAAAGTCTCTGTTCTGAAACCAGCATCCCTTAATCTTGTATCCTCCTTTGTCTCGTAAACCTTAGTCTTCTGATTAGTGTGCTCATTGGTGGGTTGGGGAAGGGGGTGTGGCAGGATTTCTTTTTCGCACTGCGTATTCCTAGTTGTTGCCAACACAGCAAAAATGATAGGCTGCATTAGACTGGCACCTGCGTAGGGATCAGGTAAGTGTTAAGGGACTGTACTGCTCTGCTTAACTTTTTTTTAAAGTATCATCACAAGGGAGGATGGGAGAAAACCAGAATTAGTTGGCTCTGCCTACCACTGAGTACCCTGCCCTCTGCCACTCCAGTTCCAATGAATACCAGCCAGCACAGTTGGGAGCCAACTCACAGTATTTTGCAGCAATGTCCATGTTGTGCCTGATGGGCTATGATCTTGGTTGAAATCCTTCCTCAGGCATGGACACACTGACTGGCCTTTGGCAAGAGTCTCTGATCCTGTACCACCTACTGATTTCTGTGGCTTTGGAAATGTGTAATGAAAAAACATATTTTTAAATGTTCCCTAGAATAATCCCCTAAAAGCCAATATTTCTTACCTGTTAAGCTTCATTTTGGGATTAAAATAGGAATCTGTTTTCTGTGGCGTAGAATAGTTAGGAAGGACTCGTACATCTGTGTCTGCTTCTTTCACAACTTCATGTGTAGACTTGCGAACACGGGCTAAGAATGTGTTTCAGAATGTGAGAAACAGCATTAAGCAGACTGTGTGTGTACATTTTCTATGATGCTCAAGAAGCACCCCAAATCATTGGATCCATGCCAGTGGTACCCCAGAATACGGCAATCATAAAAAGAAAAACTTCCTAGGCAATAAAAATACTGTTAACCACATTTGTAAAATTAGAAATAAATTGTTCTCATTTATTAGCTGTTG